CCCCGTGTTAACTCCAATATCTTCAAACTTATAGAAACCGTTTTTAACATCCCTCCACAAAGTTGGTCAAATTCTGTTAAACATATAGAAAAAGCAGAACAATCGTATATCCATTCTGCAAATAATATAGAACAAATGATAATTAGAACAGGTAATGATAGCGTTAGTGACACTGATATATTATGTGAATAATTTTAAGTAATTTAAGTAGGTTATGAAAATAATTTGTAGTTTTATTTTAGATTTAAACATAAATACATAAATAAATAAATATTGTTTAGTATCTTTCATAACAAAAACCCTAAATAATTAAATTTTAAGCAAAGTACGGACCTGTTCGGCCATATTTCATTCTTATAGCTTGCCCGGGTCTTTCCTTAATTCATATCAGTTAGTCACTTTCTTATATCTATGAACAGACTTTACCTAGAAATTCATGATCAACATTCCATATTGATTGACGTAGATTCAAAAATCAAGTGACAAACATCGATTTGTTGATTAAAGAAAAGCGCGTTCTGTTTAAATTCGATCAAATTTAACGCGACTAGATCAAAATCAACCTATTCGTTTTTGACATAAACGGCCAAATAGAGATCAGCTTTCCGCATAAGGTAATGGAAAAGTAAACAGTTCATCGAGACTAGTTTGATGAGCTCCACAAATAATATTGACATAGATGGTAAAGAGTACGTAATTTCACGCGAAAAATTTATGAACAGAAATGTATGAAATTGCTAATATAAGTGTAATGGGCAAAATATGTAATTAAAGTGAAAATCGCAAATAACAAATATTAATCCGGTTACCAGTTTATTACTTTTTAACTTGATGGATGATTGTTGTTTACAATAATGGTGGTTAGTGGTTATGGCTAATTCAACCATTCTTACCTAATAACGACTGTAAGCAATCAGTATTCTGTTCCTCCAGTTTTAACCACATAAAATGTCAAATTGATATTCTATTGTTAAATCATATTATTAACTAGCAACCACATTTTAATAGTAAATACGCAACGGAAAGAGAGATGAAACAATTTTGTCGTCTAGCTAGGATGCTATTATGTTACCCAACCGAAACAGCAGCCGAACGAGACCTCCCAAGGCTTGATGGAGTGTAAGTGTAAGTATTCTGTTAAGGATAAAGCACCATGGGTCTGCTAAACCTTACACGGTGTGATAAAAAACACTCTCCTTCATGTTGACAGTCTGACGCACCAAAAAAGCATCCGCTATGTAAGATAAAAGCTGAAGGCAAGTCAGAAAGAAACTTAAGAACGAAAACAAACTTATACAATAATTGATTATCTAATTAGTGTAAATAAATTACTAATTTATAAAACTGTTATACAACAGATTTTTTACAGCATTGGCAATTTAGCAGCTGGTATTAGATTATTATTATTTAGTTTTCAATGTTTAGGATACAAGATACCAATATCTAATCCATTCATATTAGAAATCAATTTTTCGTTCAAAATTACCCGAAAAGCATCAACAAAGTCAATAATGACTCGTGATAAATATATATAATAACAGTACCGTTTTCGCGTTTCCAAACCGTTGTCAAAGCAATCTTCGCAGATCCTCGGTTAATGTAAATGAATAAAACAGAAATAACTGTGCGTGTGCGTCATGATTCACTCAGAGCACCACGTGACCCGCTCATTTATAATTACATTTTAACATTCAATGCATTCTTTTAAAGGTAAATGCGTTTCCTTTGCGATAGACGTCCGTTGGTTTTCTTATTTCTTGAATGCAAATATGTATATGGCTAAGGCAGTGCGGATCTGGCTTCCGCAGATTTATATAACTTTCTTGACTATCAGGAAATCATCAATTAATAGTTAAATGAAATATTCTGTGATTTAGTAGATTAATAAATGTTAATTCTGTTTAATATTACCTTGCGCGTACATCATTTTATTTTTTAACGATTAAATTATTTTTACTCATTAATAAGCACATTGTGGTCGAAGATAAATATAGTTGTAAGAAGAAAAATGCTATCGACCTAATGATTGAAAATTTGAAATTATAATGTAGATTTTATCAGCGAAAAACAAAAATATATACCTAATATTGAAAATCTCCTCCATATAACAGGTTAAGGACTTCTCCAAGTTTTATAAACGACACTTTAGTTAGGAGTTTGTTTGGGTGTCCGGAGAATTTTATTACTTTGTTGCGTACTTTTGTCGTACAGAATGACGTGTGGCGTTTTGAATCAATTGAAACCATTAGAGCACTGCCCACTCGTAACTAAAGTGCTGGGCACGCAAGAGTGTTTATTAAAGCTGACATTATAAAGTGACACTGCGCAAGGGCATAATTGGGTATTCTAGATCAAGGGGTACAAAACAAAAATTTAAGTCTTATAAGTGATCTTGAATTAACTATATTAACTATATTCCTTAGAAAGTAATATTTCGACAAAGCAAAGAGTAATTTTTAATTTGTTCTTTTTCGTAAATAGGTAGGACAAAAAGAAAAAAATCCATTGTCCGGACCAGAAACATTTAAAAAAGTTGCATCTAGATATAATGTTTCATAACTAACTTAAGTACACGCATATTACTTTCCAACAATAAAGAAACAATCAAATTTTATTTAGACGCAGAAAATATTATAATATATAATGTGATATATAATCAAAATATTAAATATCTCAAAAACGGGAAGAGCCATACATGAAATATGTCTAGAATTGAGGAGCACGAGGTGTTCAAAAGTCACTAATAGATATGGCATTCATACCAATTATATATTATATACCAATTTTCGTATAATACTACGATAAATTTAAGCATTGACTAAATTTTAGTATTTGTAACTTGGAAGACACACATAAGGCGTCATACTACATGGACGGAAATTAAATTTGATGTTTATAAAACAAAAGGTCATGATGTATCAGGCATATTGCTTTATTTAGTCAAGTGACCAATAAATCATGATTTGAGATTTACATTCTACTTGCCAACATAGGTAGAAATGTAATTGTTTAAAGTCAATAACTAATTATCAATTTCTAGGAAAAACTCTCTTGTTTTTTCTCACAACAAAATTTAAGTATTAATACATAAATCGTTTTTCATTTTTCTGCATGAAAAATGAAGTAATCATAATGAGCAGTGTAAACTTGTTGCCGACATCTTGAAGGAAAGAAAATTGGAAATTAACCAGTGTCAATTGCTTAACTTTTAAATTGAATTTTACAAAAAAATGCATTTTTTTGGATTTCCGATTTTTTGCAAATTTTAATTACATGTGAGCATTTTGTTGTAAAAATGACTTATAGAAATCTAATTGAAGCTTAAGAACTTCATTTTAGTGCTGTATTTGGCGAATGTGTGTCTTTTTGATAGAAAGTTAGGAAGAGTAGGAAAAAAACGGGTTTTTTTATATGAGATCTTTGTGTTTCCTTATGTATCTGTTAAAGAATTTTTTACTCCCGTCTGTGAAATACCTAATTGCACACCGATCTAACGTGCGGGAAGCGTCACTTTACCACGTCAGTTTCGTTTCCCACGGATCCGAGCTACTTCGGACATTTCCGGGATTTTACCGCACGGGTTTGAGAGTAATCGGATGTTTTCGGAGATATTTCCCACGCCTTGACTTTTGACGATGATCAATTCTGACGGTCATACCAGTGAATGTATTCGTGTTGTTTGGCAAAAATGTACCCAAAAACTAACGGTCGTAGAAAAAGTATAGTATGCAACACGTTCGGTAAACTTTTTAAATCACTCGTTTATTAAGCATATTCAGCATGCCCAGAAATGATGAGCAAAAATTTTAAGAGCTGAATCTACTAGGACATTTAATAATAAAGTTCATATAGTATTTTTTCGAAAACTCAAATTTCACGTAAAACCCTTAATGCCTTAGCAGTCCTTAAGATCTTCGTTTTTTTCTGTGGTACCGTCAATAATTATTGAGTATAGTGGAGCTGTTTTTGTACCATCTTATAGATGGTACAAAAACAGATAATAAGATAATTTTTTTTTTGGATTTTGAAATAGCAGTTAAAGATTAAGGAAACTAATAATTTTCGTATTTCATTTCGAAACAAGTGTTTTTCCACAACTAATTTCACTGTCAAAATTCACTAATATTTGGTTCATAGCATGCTTGGATAGTTACTAAAACTAACCAATAATTGATCGGTTTATTTTATTGTGTTTTAACAATAGAGTGGTATGTTTTAAAGCTTTTTCAATGGTCTTCTAGTGTTAGCTTTCAAAAATGGCAAAAAAACTATTTAAATAAGTCTAATGACATTTTCACTGAAATGGTGGGCAACCCCTTTGACATTATAGCTTTTGCGTCAAAAAAGAAAAGAAAAAAAATACATTATTCATACGGGTGCAAAATATAAAATTAATGGGCTAACTGGGAAAATAGTTCATTAAAAAAAAATTTCCATGTACTGTAATTATAATAACTGTAGTAATAATATAAAAACTTTAATATTAATTTCTTGAATCCTTTTCATATAAACGCTGTGCTAATGTTTTAGGTGGTCTACTTTTCACCTAAAATGTTCACCGCATTACCATTTTACGATTCATAATATTATCGCTAAGCCCGAAAGAAACTCGCACTATGTCCAATTTGGTGATTTAATCAGTCAAATTGAAGGTTTATGCTGATTTATCTGCGCAAAGTAATTTATATTCGTTACTTATGAGGTTCGCTACACAACCACTCTCTATTAGGCTGACTTCGAGCAATAGTAAGATATGCATCAACCAAAAAAGAAGAAAAATAACAGCCTTGGGTTATAGATATATCTCTTCGTTTATTTTCACCTCATTTGAAGAAATTAATCGCTACCGACGGCCGGGAACTTTCCCGATACGCTTGTCTATAATTGGTTCGGCATTTGCGAAAAGGAACACCGCAAATAAAATGAATTCAGTTGGAACCAAATTACTTAGGCTAGGTTGTGCCGAAACCTGCGCACGCCTTACTAAATTATTTACTTACATAATTAAGACATTTAATCCTACTATTGTGAGATTTAAGCAGTCCCGGCGTCAAAGTTTTTCCAAAAGAGAAATTATGCGGATGCCAAGAACAATCGTCATGTATTGTCACTTCACTAAGCACAATGTATTCTTAGAAGGCACTGTACAATTTGAATAAACAAATCTTTTCCACTGTCAATATTTGCTTTGAACTCGTATAACTTCTGTTGTTTGAGGACTGTTTTATGTTCCTCTTTTCACTAAATAAATTGCTTGGGTAGCTTTTGACGGCATGCGCTCAAATTAATGGCTGGCTTTTGCGTACCGATCGAACACATAAAAAATCCAAGGTAGTCAAAAACCGGGCTTTGCAAAAGTCAACGCAAATGCTATACGGACGCAACTGATAAAGGCATTTAATTTATGAGCCAATCTTAGTAAAGGCTAAGGCCCGGCAAGTTTTTAACTACACAAAAACCGTTTTTATTCAGTTTACGATCTCGAAGATTGCCGGTTGCTGCGGCATAAAAATAAATTCCCCAATGACAAATTTTTATGGTCATTAAACTCTCACGTCACTGAAAACTGAACTCGCGGTGCACACGGCGTGCAGTTCATTGAACATTCCAAGGATGACCAGATCGAAATATACGTGTGCTGCAGGAAAAGAATCGACCTTCCTGAGCCGGATGTCCTTAGTAAACTACACGCTACCTGTTGGTGCAGAGCGCGCAGTCTGACTAAAAACCACCCACCTAGCTTAAGACCCAAAGACCTACATTTGAGGTGCCCCACCATCTCCCACCTGGGTAGCCACGGCGATGGCTTCGGCTTCCCCACTTGTGATGCAGACTCCGTTCTCAGGTGTTAAATTGTTGATATCGCGACGGTTCCTGATCTTCATGTTTATATCCTGAATCGAAGAACGGTACGCTATGTAAAAATGTGTTGAGTTGACTGATATTTCCTGTCTTTATTGAGTACAAGTTATTTGCGAAAAAAAAAACGTATTTTTAGGATCATTGAATTGACATTGAGTCTGCCCGATTTGTCTTCATATTAGTACTCAGGTGATTTCCAAATGATTAAGTAAATTATAATTCGCATACATGATGGCGTTTTTGGCAAACTGCTGTTAAAAACAATTCTCCGCCTTCACAAAAATCATGTCGATTATCCCCCGTATATGTTCCAAATGGCCGCCGTAAACTATGTTGATGGTATTCAGCAGGCTTATAAGGCACATTAATATAAATTACTAACCAAAAATAAGGATTTATTTTTAATATATTAAAGAATGTATGCAAGTAGTAGACCAAATGACACGATCTACTCTAGTATGACAAAAAAGTGTGCTACCATACATACTCTAAAGAAATATTGAAATATTTAAAAAGATAATAAAGATAAGAATTTATCTAAAGTTTCAAATGAGAGAAACTTCAGTAGACTTCAATGAGCACGTAGACCAGTAACTTCGTACCATCTACATCAAAAGGAGCATATTTCAATATACAGGGTGTCCGGAAATAATTAGTATAAAATGCAAGTGCTGATTTTACTTGGGAAATTAATATAGCATTTTTTCAAAATCCTAAAATAAACGAAATAAAAGGGTGGCAAATTTTTCTTTTTAATGAATATTCCTTAATAACTTTTTTATAGATTGCCGATTAAATTTATCACACTTACTAATAATTATCCACGCAAATGTCCTCATATGTTTACATTTCTTTACAAATTCGTGTCTAAAATTCCCGTTTTTGATAGGTAGACGAGGATATGTTCTTTAATCCTCTAAATATTCTATGAGATTTTAGTTACTGACTAATAGATGGTACCCCTTCTGCGGTTAAACTGACTATTTTAACGATTTGCCGACGATCAGGTGCGACTCTAAAACATTGTAGGTTGGCATCTCACCCAATTGCGTTGGTCTTTCCATTTATCGGGAAAATTTTCGTTTTTGTAGGCATGTTTGTGGTTGAGGCCATTTATTGTTATATTGACATATTTTGTCTTTTTTTGTAGTAGTAAAAATATTTTCGTCTTCCGGGCTCACGATAGAAAATAAAGTTTTCCAACTATGAGACTTTTTTGTCGACGGACAACTCACCTAATCCTACAGAAAGCGGCCAACACCGTCGGTTGCTCTGCAATATGAACTATCTATCTATATCTTAAGTAGAATCACCACTTAAATTTTTGCTCATCATTTCCGGATCTAGGGTATAGGAAGCGCGATGACTTAAGACCTAAAGACAAGTAAACATTGTTTACATTCTAGAATGTTAAACCGTAAGGGGTTTTCCAGATCGGATTTTTATTGGGCTGTGTTAACAATTAATTATCTTGTCTCTCCTTTTTTTTCAATGCTGTCGGCAATTTAACAATTAAACTTAGCTTTTATGTATATACAATTAATAATATAGTTAAATAAATAATTAATAATATAGTGTATTCGTGTATAGTGGTTCGAGTATGAGCCCATTTTTTTTCTACAAAATTTTGGGATCTTAGGAATAAATATCCACTAAATGATACACTTCAAGCTCAACGGTATATTAAAGATACGTTATGAAGAAAGTTAAATTTAGGTGCGATTTATGTAAAAAAATCAACAAAGCAACTTCTGGATCAAACTGTATGAAATCTGGGCTCCCTAATAAAATAATTGGATAGTAACTAACAAATTGAAATAACTCATGTCTTTAAACCAAAAACTTAAAATTAATAAAACTAAACTAACTCGCTTTATGAGGCGAAGAGGTGATCACTTGAGGTTTAGTTAATTGTCTTCCCCGAGTAGGATTTGTTTGGGGCAGGTGAGACAAATTTAACTGTCTTTCCTGGAACAGATGGTTCTGAGGTACCATACGTTCGGCTGTAACAGGCTGCGCTTGGGGCATAATGTTGCTGTTCTCTCAGCCAGAATTTGTTCATATATAAAATCGAAGAAAATGTGACGATTGAAATGGTAAATTCCCATCGGCTTAAAACCACCAGCAGCTATTTCGGCACACAATCATTTGAAAAATTTTTCACCTAAAAGTTCTGCCAAGTCAAAATGTGTGAGGGGACGTTGGTCAACACGATCCCAATTTCTATTTTCCTCACTGTTATACTCCTTGAAACTTAGTTAGAAGAAGTTTTTATTTTGTAATATAGTGTCTATTATAACATACTACCACACCAACTATCCACATTTAAACATAAACGATTATAAAAATCGCAAAAACACTTACCGTAAAACAATTATGTAAATACGCAAATATCCATCTGTTTCTATACATCAGACTACCCGCAAAAACGGAAATGTCTGGGACTGGGACTGATAGGAGAGTTAAGGATGGAATTCATAGATGTCGGAAAGTGCTCTTGTGGAAATATATTGGGGCTCATGTTAAGTGCAAGGCTCATATTCGGACCACTTTCTCTAATAATACAGGCATACAATACATTAAATAGTATTTTAATAATACAGGCGTACACTATATTAAATAATATTTTTTACGAATTAAAAAATTATCAAAGACTATCATAGACCAGGGCTTCTTGAACTTTTTTATATAGCGACCCCCTTCAAGCTTAGGAAATTTTAAACGACCCCCTCCTCCATATAATGAAATATATATTAACCGTAGATGTAGATGTAATATCGCACTATTTTACAATGTAAATAAAATAAGGATTAAAGAATACGTACCCATTCATTTCACATATATATAATTGGAAACGTTGACGGGATATCGGTCGTAATAAAACACAATAAATAGAATGACATAAAACTATATATATATATATATATATATATATATATATATATATATATATATATATATATATATATATATATATATATATATATATATATATATATATATATATATATATATATATATATATATATATATATATATATATATATATATATATATATATATATATATATATATATATATATATATATATATATATATATATATATATATATATATATTTATTCAATAGAAAAAATAAACTTTTGTAACAATTTTTTTAATAAAAACATATTATTAACATCAAACAATATTAACATGACGGATGTGATTGTTTATTTTTACACAAATAATTAAATCTAGGCTCAATTTGAGTTAGTGCAGATCGTAATAAATTTTCAACGTTTATTAAAGTTGAACGGTATTTTGATTTTATGTAAATTAATGTGGAAAAGGCTGATTCACATAAATATGTTGTACAAAATGGCAGTAATTTGTTCATTGCCATTTCCGATAGTAGGGATATTCTGATTTGATTTCTATCCAAAATTCATGCACAGGCACTTGAGAAAATCTTAGTCGCAAGGTAGTATCACTTGTTAATTCGGAAAATTCTTCTTGTGCTTTTAAGTTTAAAAAATTAATTTCTTTCATTTCAATTGAAAATGGATTGCAAACCCATTGTGTATCGATATCATTGGGAAAATACCTATGCATGTAAACTTCCATATCCTTCAAATGATTAACTATAATTTTAGTTATAGGAGCATCTTTTTTTGAAATATTGTTACTATTTATATACTCGTCAGTAAATGGAAACATTTCGAGCGATCCACTTTCCACTGTGTTCTTCCATATAAGAATTTTTTTAACAAAGGCCTCCAGTTTATTTTTTAACATAAACATATTAACGCAGACTCCCTGCATTGATAAATTCATATCATTGATTTTATCAAAAATATCTGCCAAATAGCATAGCTTGAGAAGCCATAAATTATCGTGAACATAATCGGCCAAATTAGAATTTTGCTCTGCTAGAAATATAAGAACTTCATCTTTTAAAGTTAATAATCCTTTCAAACTTCGACCTCTTGATAGCCACCTAACTTCAGCATGTAGCAATAAACTTGTATAATATGCTACTTCCATTTTTTCATTTATAGGCCCTACATAACAGTTTTGCATTTCCACTTTTTTCAAAAAATAGTTATAATGAAACTACAATAGTATTTTGTATGATTTTTATTTGCATTTATATTTGTACGTAGTGTGTATACTAATTTTCAATTTTTTTTTATAATGATTGAAAAGTATCAGATTTTGCGACCCCCTTTCAGTAGTCTCGCGTAGACCCACAGTTTAAGAAGCCCTGTATAGACTAATATCCACTGAAAAGTGCACTAGAAATTTAATGAAACTCTAATATACAACCCTACTTAAGATACAACTGGTTCTAGTAAACTTAACAAACATTATTGTCGAAAATGTTATGTAAAGTTTGTCCATTTGGACATGTCTACTAATATTAACGAAGGCTTCTTTGTTTTTTGTCACCTATGATACGAATATCTTGTTGGAACAATCATATTTATGAATTAAATTATTTTTTAAAAAGGCCGAAGAAAATTCTAACAATGCAACGATTTCTTAAAAAAATGCATTTCAATCACTGGAATATACGACCGGCGGTGGAGACTTCAACGTCGGATTAAGCGCGAAACCCACTCGCTCAGATTTCACAAATTTTGTGAACGATAAACCTCGGGCTCATATTATCTATATGTTCCGCAGCCGCCGCTTGAAAAGTTCCGTACCAATCGCTTCGTTGAGGCAGTTCTCGGAAAGCCCGTAATTGTAATTGTAATAATTAATTTTTACTTTAAAATGCAAAACAAATGCAACAGAAACCGACAAGCATATTATAAGCTATACGAAGTCAAACAAAT